AAACTTGCCTATTAAAAATAAGGAACTGAGGTTCATAGAAGTGAAATGTCCACAGTCACAAAAAATAGAGAAAAAAAAGTCAGAACCAGATTCTGAGTTTCCAGAGTTCGGTCCCCATGCTTCACTCACTATACCAGACTGTTCATTGAGAAATACATAGAGGGGCAAAAGGATTTCCAGAGGAGAAACCGGAGCTAGCAGACTTGGCAGTCTATTCTCATTCAGGTTAGCTTATATGCACAAATCTAAAAGACCCAGGTGAACACAAAGGAGAGAAAGGAGGAAAAACCATTTTCTAATATTTAAACATCTATGTTGAATATGGAGGCTGTTTGTATATGAGGAAAAGTTCCTTTCTTTCTCATTTTTTTTCTATTATCTAAAACTATATATGTATTCAGTGAAAAGTAAGAAGGTCATTTACTCAATACTCAAGTTCTGTCCCTCAAAAATGTTGGTACGATGATGAGAGTCATACCATACCAGGGAATTCACTTGTTTTCCTCTGAATTACCTAAAACCACTTATAGAGATGTGTTAAAGCCACCTGTGCTTCCAGCTGAGTAAGGCATATTTACATCCTTGTAAATTCTAAGTGTGCATTTTTTCAAAATTCTAAGAGAGAAGGCTAAGCCCTTCGACCTATACTTAAGAAACTGAGTTTTATCAGACCGAGCCTATGATCTGACACACATTAGGAAAGCAGCTGAATTCTCAATGAAAAAGAAATCCTCAAGTAATATACATGATTTCGATATACCTATAACTCCTTTTCAGTTCATAAAAGTTAAAACAATACACAATATCTTTGATAAAAATTAAGCTACAAGTAAACAACATAAAATGTGAAAGTAAACAACTTGCCTTTTTTTTTTTTGCGGTACGCGGGCCTCTCACTGCTGTGTCCTCTCCCGTTGCGGAGCACAGGCTCCGGATGCACAGGCTCAGCGGCCATGGCTCACGGGCCCAGCCACTCCACAGCATGTGGGATCTTCCCGGACCGGGGCACGAACCCATGTCCCCTGCATCAGCAGGCAGACTCTCAACCACTGTGCCACCAGAGAAGCCCACAACTTGACTTTTTAAATAAAGAAGGAAGACCATCTCTTCCAAACAAGTACCCAGTAAAAAAAAAAAAGGGCAGGGCAATGAAGCTCTCTCATATATTTTGAAAGATGAACACATACATGCCAGGAACAGCACTTTATTTTTATATGAATAGATGTTCCCATAGTAACAAATTCAACTCATGAATTCTTCTTTTAGTTCAATGTAGTATATTAACAGGTTCAATATTATATTGGCCAGTTTCACTTCTGCTAAGGCCAATTGAAAAGTTTGCTAAGTGCTATAGGAAGCACACTGTGCAACAAGTGATTTTCCAAACCAGGAGGCCAAAAGTGTCAAATTCAATATCCCAACATTCTTAAGTCTAAAATAATTTCTAAAAATAAAATCAGATTAAAAAAAAATCTCATTTCTATTAAAGAATAGAGAGAGAGGAGTGGGAGAAGGGGGAGAAGGGAGAAAAGGGGGAGGAGGGGGAGGAAAAGGAGGAGGGGGAGAAGGGGGAGGAGGGAACGGGGAGGAGGAGGGGAGGAGGGGGAGGAGGAGAAGCAATAATCAGACACCTCTAATTAATCATTCTTTTCTTTCATGGTTTTTAATCACCCATTAACATTGTAACGTCTCCTCAAACTGAAAAACTAAGGAGTTGGCTTAAATGCAAACAGAACCACAGAAGAGGCAACATAAATGAACAAGTGAGTCCAGGTAGTCAGTGTTTGCCATAATTAAAGGGGTAGTTTCTTTCAGCCAAGCTCTAGCCACTTTCTGCAACGGGAAATGTAAACCTAATGACATCAGATCTTCCGGTTTTCAAAAGAAGTTGGAAATCTGCATTTTTATGCAAAAATCTCCTTACTTTTAAATATTGGCTTTTTAAAAAATTTGGGGGCTTCCCTGGTGGCGCAGTGGTTAAGAATCTGCCTGCCAATGCAGGGGACACGGGTTCGGGCCCTGGTCCGGGAAGATCCCACATGCCACAGAGCAACTAAGCCCATGCGCCACAACTACTGAGCCTGTGCTTTAGAGCGCATGCACCGCAACTACTGAAGCCCATGAGCCACAACTACTGAGCCCACGAGCCACAACTACTGAAGCCCACGTGCTCCACAACAAGAGAAAGTGTTTGCACAGCAATGAAGACCCAATGCAGCCAAAAATAAATAAATAAATTTATAAAAATTAAAAAAAAAAATTGGCCCCAAAGCACATGCCTATAGCTGGATCCAGTCAGCTGGTCTCCAGTTTGCAACCCCTGGCTTATGCAGAAATTTCTGTCTTTACATCGTTCTAAGATATCATCACAGATCTGTGGTTACAGAAGCCCTGAGTAGAATGGGATTAGAAGGAGCGGAATGTGCCATGTTCGCAGTGGATCGCCACTCCCTGCCACCGCACCTTGGATGAAATCCTATGACAGCACTACTTTATTTGTGTAGAAGTCTGTCTACAACCACCAGACTGGAAACTTCTTGTAGGCAAGGCCACACCTTATTCATCTTAGTTTCCCCAGCACTTGGCACATGAAAAGCACAAAATAAATATACTTGAATTAATAAGTGAATGAATAAACAAACACCAAATGAATGTAATCTCTGATGTCAATCCCCCTCTAACCTTTTTTCTCCAACATGGAACTTGGTGGAAAAGAGTATTTCCAGTATTTCCACATTTCAAAACTGAGTTGCTCTATACCTGAGCAGAAGTAATGGCTGTATATATTGGTTAAGCCAATTTGGGGCAGACTTTCTAAATTTCAATTGCTGGATTAAAGCCAGGAAACAAGTATCTGAAATTAATTAACATTAACTTCTTCTTTGCCACATGAGACAGAAAAGAAGTCTCAAGAGGGTAGAAGGAGCAGGGAATGAAGAAGAAGGGAGTCTCCATTCTGTGACTATGTGATAAAAGATCGTGTAGTCGTGTTGTAGACAGCTTAGTCTCTACATTAGAGCGCATGCACCGCAACTACTGAAGCCCATGAGCCACAACTACTGAGCCCACGAGCCACAACTACTGAAGCCCACGTGCTCCACAACAAGAGAAAGTGTTTGCACAGCAATGAAGACCCAATGCAGCCAAAAATAAATAAATAAATTTATAAAAATTAAAAAAAAAAATTGGCCCCAAAGCACATGCCTATAGCTGGATCCAGTCAGCTGGTCTCCAGTTTGCAACCCCTGGCTTATGCAGAAATTTCTGTCTTTACATCGTTCTAAGATATCATCACAGATCTGTGGTTACAGAAGCCCTGAGTAGAATGGGATTAGAAGGAGCGGAATGTGCCATGTTCGCAGTGGATCGCCACTCCCTGCCACCGCACCTTGGATGAAATCCTATGACAGCACTACTTTATTTGTGTAGAAGTCTGTCTACAACCACCAGACTGGAAACTTCTTGTAGGCAAGGCCACACCTTATTCATCTTAGTTTCCCCAGCACTTGGCACATGAAAAGCACAAAATAAATATACTTGAATTAATAAGTGAATGAATAAACAAACACCAAATGAATGTAATCTCTGATGTCAATCCCCCTCTAACCTTTTTTCTCCAACATGGAACTTGGTGGAAAAGAGTATTTCCAGTATTTCCACATTTCAAAACTGAGTTGCTCTATACCTGAGCAGAAGTAATGGCTGTATATATTGGTTAAGCCAATTTGGGGCAGACTTTCTAAATTTCAATTGCTGGATTAAAGCCAGGAAACAAGTATCTGAAATTAATTAACATTAACTTCTTCTTTGCCACATGAGACAGAAAAGAAGTCTCAAGAGGGTAGAAGGAGCAGGGAATGAAGAAGAAGGGAGTCTCCATTCTGTGACTATGTGATAAAAGATCGTGTAGTCGTGTTGTAGACAGCTTAGTCTCTACAGGTGTTGTGGTTGTTGTTTTACCTGCACTTGAGGAAGCCACTTCCTCTTCTACTGGATGCCTCCCTGTAGATGACATGGCAAGTGGAGGTTTGAAGGGGGCAGAAGAGTGTCCAGGGGAGTTAAGTGGTAAGAACAAAAAGGAAAGTTCATTCCATGCTGTTTCTGTGCAAATGGGAATGCTTTCTGCCCAGGTTAAAAGGAGGCGTGATTGGAAGGTGGGGGTGGGATGGATTGGGGTTGACATATATACACTACTATGTATAAAATAGATAACTAATGAGAACAGACTGTAAAGCACAGGAAACTCTACTCACTGCTCTGTGGTGACCTAAATGGGAAGGAAATCCAAGGAAGAGAGGATGTACATATACGTGTGGCTAATTCACTTTGCTGTACAGCAGAAACTAACACAACATTGTAAAGCAACTACATGCCAATTTTAAAAAAAAGAAATTCTACAACTTCAAAGTGAAATTTTAAAAAACACACATGTAAGGATAAATAACATTAGAAATAAATGGACTTAAATATGAAAAAAAAAATGCAGGCCTGATATACCATCCCTGTCAACTAGCCAATATTTCTACTCTGCCTTCTCTCCTTTCCATATACACACTGTTCAATATGCTTTGGAGTCTAAACTTTTTCTTCAATACAATCCTTGGGACAAAAATGTATACTCTGTATCTATGTACACCAAATTTATAATCTTGGCTATAAAAACTATTTCTGGGTAACTTTTAGAGAACAACTCAGTGGGCACTTATAGCTTAATTATCACCAAGCAAGTATGAACCATAAATAAGCTTTCTACTATGTGTGGACTTTGGCAATGCCAAATGTGTGGACTTCATTTAACCACTGTGGAAGGCTTAAATTATCTAAACCAATACTTGGGTCCCATGAGCTGACAACTATGAATAATGTCCCAAGGATGATATAAGAGAATATGTGTAATAGAAACAGCTTGGGAAAGTCATGACCAAAGTAAGCAGGGAAGTGTACAAAGAAGAAAAGCTTGAGGGCCTGGTTCTAGGAGTAAAACACAGAAACATACTTACCAGAATAGATGGTAAGGTTTCCTGAAGACTTGAACTTTGGGTGTTCCAAACTTGGTCTTCACTTTGGGGAAGTAAAACTCCTCTCACTGAAGAAAGAGTAACATTAAAGAACATTTTTAGTTGAGACACAATTGTACTTAAGGTTCAGGGACAACTAAAAACCAAGTTTTTCCTTTTTATAGCTTACGTTTGGGTAGAACAGATGGGGAGTCGCTTAGAAGATGCTTGATACTTTATTCAAATATTTTACTTATATTAGCACAATCTGTCTAAATTATAAAACTCCAACATGAAATAAATATTCTCCCCATCATTACATTTAGGACACTCCTATATTATTTTCTTTCCTTTCTCAAGCAATTTTTTACTCTTTTCAAGATTCCTATGAAGTAGTTGCTCTAAAACTGATTTTTTTTTTCATTTTAATAAGAAAGTTGAACTGAAATTCCAACTCATTTAGTTGATGCTAAAAATGGAGAAAATATGCAAAACTATTTCCTTTTCGGCAGAAAGTGCCTTTGGAAAATGGGGTAAGACACCAGAGAGTTTATCACTATACCAATACTAAGTCATAAAGTTAACAGAGTAGATTGTATAATTTAATTCAATAAGATTTACTGAATCCTTGCTAGTTATCATGGACTTTGATGAGATTGAGGCTATAAACATTAATAAAGTCAAGTTTCTTTTGTGGAACTGTTCCCTATGTCACAGATAAATACATATTATAAAACAATATGAGGGACATTTATATAATGTATGTGAACACAAACAAAAAAGAAAATGATTCTGCCTGGAGGAGAGAAGGAATCAATAAAAGCTAAAAAGAAAGGATTGTCAGAAAGGTGATCTGGTGCATACACCAAAAATAGAAGCAGAATCTCTCTTTATTCACCTGTTCACTGACATAAAGGGATCAAACAGAAGTCAAAGACCCTATTTTTGGAAAATATAAGTATTTTCCAAAATTCTTTTTCAACTGTGTATTGTTATCTTGTCTTCTATGGAAAACAAGTAGCATGAGATCAAAGATGAACATATCTTTTAAGATGACTGAGTCACCTAGAAAGCTGCAGCCATTCAGAACTCTGAAGCTGGCAAAACAAACAGAAATGGATTTTAGGAATAAAATTCTGAGCAACTGAAACGTACATCTACTGAAAGGTCAAAGCACCTGAATTAGTTTGTACTGGATATCCTAAAGCTTTTGTTAAACTTGCTTGGAAATTCTGAGAGAACTGTTGACCTCTTTTTTAGGACACCTTCTAGGAAGTAGCTCCACCCCAGGCTCCACATAAAAGGAAGACCTCACTATGTTGTTTATGGATTTAGTTTCCTAAACAACCTCATTTTGCCTATGGCATATCTTAATCCTCATGCCATTCTTCCACCAGAAACCCCTGATTGATCTACCCAAATTATCTGCATGGCTAAAGCGCCATTCCTATCAGGATGGCTTCTGTCTCATGCAGTCTAGAGAGTGCCAGACCATATATATTTTTGGAAATTAGTTTTCCCATAATATACTGGAAAAGAAACTAAAACTGTACAAGGACTTAATGGTTATCCAACTTACCATCAATAAGCTGAAGGGAGTCAGGATCCAGATTCAAAGAGGAGGTCCCCAGCAAAAAATTCTGGTGCAGTGTCTCAGCAATATAATCTCTGAAGTTACTAATTGTATAAACAGCAGTGGGCTTATCATCCAATTCCACAAGACCATGGTTCTCCACCTTGTTGGAGTGAAGGCTAATTATGTCCCAGGTGGTATTGCTGATGGCATCACCATTGAAGGTAACTGCATAGTGAACATCTATGCCACTATGGATGAAAAGAGAAAAAGATTAGGTCCCGCCAAGGAAACACAAAGAAAGGAGCTTTGAACCCATGAAGAACAAACATTAGACCTAGAGGGAGAGTCTCAAAAAGCATGGATTCCATCACCATTCTCTGAAGACTCTGGGCAACCTTTAGCCATCCCCTTCTTCCCAGAGAACAGAGGGTTATAGACCTAAGAACATGGAAAGGGATCTAAGGAGGCCGCAGAGTCAACCCTGCACAATACCTGAGCGTATTCTTCCCCCATGTTCTCACCCCTTCAAAGCCAACTGCTCCTTTTCCCTATCAGCCTGCTTCCTTCTTTACCTATTAGCCTTTTTCCTACCTGATTTAAAAAAACAAAACAAAACCCTCTAGCTCTACTCAACAATGGGAAATCCTCTCATATCTCTTTATTACTGTTGCTGGATGAATTATATACTCCACAATGGGGAGTAAAGCAATGAAGAAGCTTAATTACTATGAACTAAAACACAGTTGCCTATTGTGAAAGGAAAATATGAAATATTTGGAGATAAAGCAAATTGATGACGTTTTTTAAAATATTATGCTAGAATATTTTCTAATATGACAGTTATCTAAGTCTCTCAGGAGACATACTTTTGTTTTATAGCACAGACAATTTACAGTCTTATAAAGTTTAATAGTGAATTATAAAAAAAACTTACTAAAATGTGATGGGTTTTTTGGCCTGATAGGAACGATTACTCCAAAGTTTATGATTTTACTAACCTATAGGGCATTTAGCAATGTTGTATCTAACTTAACAATCCTTTCCCAATTAACTATATATACTTCTTTCAAATGCTCTATAAACTAGCTCTCATTTTTCTGCTGGTTCCCTCCTTAATGTGCTGAATAAAAGTTTGACAAGTGCTAAGAAATAACTTTGTCTAGGAATGGGGCCTTATCTTTCCACAAGCAAACAAAGAGAAGATTTCTTGGAATAAAGGATAAAGTGAAAATAATTAGTAGGAGATGATATGTCATTTGATATTTTCTTAAATAGTGATTTTGAAGAAACATCAGAATATAAAATTTTTAAGCCAATAGAATTATTCCTTCTAGACACTCAGATTTATCTAACAGCTAAAAACTAACATTTTTGTAAGTGCTTACAATGTGACAGGTATTTCACAGGCTTTAATCTCACTTAATATTCATAATAACCTTATGAAGGTTTTATTACCTTCAGATTATTATTAAGAAACCAAGCTTTAAAGAAGTTAAAAGACTTGCCTAAAATTTCACCATATATAAGGGATAGATAGAGTCAAGATTCAAACACGGATCTGCCTGACTCCAGTACCTGTATTCTGAACTACTTTGCTACACTCTCAGTAACTTTAATTAAACTATTACCAGAAAAAAGTCATTATGAGAATGGCTTTGCTCTACTCATCATTCTGGCTTCCAGCCAGTCTATGAGACACAGCCATCAGAGGCAGTACCCAGCAAGCCACACCAAGATCCCTCCAGAGGAAAGGAGAATACCACCCTCCCAAAGATAAACCACTGAAGGCAGATGTGCAATGGAAATAATCTGCCACCTTCAGACATTCTATAGGAGCAAAATGATGCCCAAAGCAAAGCACTCAAATAAATTAAGCACTTCCTCTTCTGAGCTCACTTATATACTCCTTGATTATAGCCTTTGCTATTTTGTAAAAAGATTCTCTTTATAGTGACTGCCTTGCAGTCTCTCCTTGAGTTTCTATCTCCAGTGTTTGGCTTGGTGCCTGGCATTAAGTACCTATCAAATTAACAGAAATCTATACCTGCCTGAATATAAAGAGAAAACTGCAGCCTAATTAAGGTATTCATATATCTCAAAAAAAAGTGTCAGGATAATGAGAAGTGTCTCATAGAGTCTAGAAAAAGGGTTAGTCAACTAATTTATGCTACCATTAGTGAAAAGTTTCTGATCAGTGTATTGTGGCTTCCTTGTAACACAGATCCCTAGATTGGAGACAGCTACAACAGGCTAGCATGACTTTGATACTGGCCATTAGGATCACCCAACTTCCCTTCTCTGATCTCAAGCTTGCAAAAGGAACTTTTGATTATAATTCCCTACAGATTGTCATATGGGGAAAGAATGCATGAGCTAAGCCAATGCAATAATTAGTCAGTTGGCAGATATATTTCTTGCTTTAAATAGATCAGTCGGCATTGATTATGGTTTGGTAAGCATAAATTGGTCTCAAGAGACCTCTACTTCCTGGGAACACTGGCAGTTCTGGTCTTGCCCAGGGCCTACAGGGGAAGCCATGAAGGTGTTACCCCTCACCTGCCACAGAAGCAGCCAGGCATGATATGATGTTCCTGTCCCACTCTAAGGTCAGTAAGGTTTTCCTCCCAGATCTGATAAGCTACCACTTCCAATAGGGTGGTTTAGGGAGCTTTAAAGTGGTAATTGAGCATTTTGACACCTGGATGCCCTACTAAGTGGCGAGACATCTGCTTGTCATCTGTAAATTCCCTCAAACCCTTAATTTTTCATATCACAATATGTTGATTCATGAGTAATTCCTGATCTCCTTTTGTCAAGAAATAAATTCAGTAAAACATGCTAAAATAACCAAATGATGGCCCCAATGTGAAATAAAATAGTATGAGGGACACTTACTGGTCAGAACTTACCACATGTATCCCAAGCATTTAGGACACAATACCTGGCTCATAGCAGTTCACTAAATACTTTTGAAAATAATGAAAAAACAAACGGTCAATTTTATTCAGTAATGCAGGCAGATAAGACCATTGAATTTGTGCCACTTAAATGACAGTATGTGATACTCCTGACTTAACCTGAAGGGTTTTTAAGTCTCTAAATATGAAAGAGTAATTTTTCACCCTAAAGAGCACGCATATTATCCTCATACATTTGTGTCTTCTGGGTAATGATTTTAGGGACACTGCTTCACAGCCAGAACCCAACTCTGTGAGGATGTGCATGCTCTTTCCAAGCTCTGTGGGATGGACCATGCCTACATCTCCAGAAAGGTGAGCTTCTCCTTGGGATCTATGCCCAACCTATTAACATGTTAATATGGCTCTAAGACTCTAAGGCTCTAAGGAAGCAGTGATAAGGGAAAAAATGGAGAAGAAGAAAAGGCTGTGCCAGTTAGCACTTGAGCTACAAAGAAAGAAAATCAGACAAGGAGAGTCAAGCCTTTACTGAGAGCCTACCATGTGCTTTGCATGACTTTTAAATAGCATAGGGAGAAGACCAAGAGAAATGTTCCTGGATCAAGAAATCTGTGCAGGGCTTCCCTGGTGGCGCAGTGGTTGAGAGTCTGCCTGCAGATGCAGCGGACACGGGTTCGTGCCCCGGTCCGGGAAAACCCCACATGCCGCCGAGCGGCTGGGCCCGTGAGCCATGGCCGCTGAGCTTGCGCGTCCGAAGCCTGTGCTCTGCAACGCGAGAGGCCACAACAGTAAGAGGCCCGTGTATCACAAAAACAAAAACAAAAAAAAAAAAAAAAAAAAAAAAAAAAAGAAATCTGTGCAAATCAGGCAGTCTGGGTTAGATCACTAGCCTTACTCTTTACTGGCAAAATATAATTTGTCTCCCAATGTTTCCCTTGGACTTCTAAAAATAACACGTCTAATATCATCTACCTTGTCTAGTAAGGATAAATTCTTTAAAGAAGATAAAATGCCTCACAGAGATACTGCAATTTATTACCAAGTTTTTGTCCTGGAATGAGAACTCAAAGTAATGCTTGAGGTATCAGAAAACCATTTATTCCCAGATCGGAGAACTTCAGCATGACCCAGAACAGACTTAGTTCTGGCATGGTAAATGGAATACACAGACATCTCAGGATAAGGAACAGAAAAAAAGAAAGCCAAGAGAAAAAGAAAGTACATAAGACGCAGAATGCACACTGGTGACAAAACATTATCTGACTGAAGAAAGCTATGCTGGCTCTCTGCACTCAGCAACTCCAAAGTTAACCAACCATCACCATAGCATCATCTTTCATCTTCTAAACTGAAACGACTGCTATGTAGAGGAAAGTTTCTCTGTCTGACTGCTATTTCCAGAGACATCAATCATGTGGAGGTGAAATTTACCCTTATTCCTCACCTCTAATGCCCTGATTGGCTGTTCGACGTGTGCAGGTTTTAAATAGCATAAATAATGATATCACATCTCGTGACAACTGATCAAACTAAAGATATTTCAGAGAAACTCAGACATCCCTTCTCTCATACTTCTATTAGGAAGAAGGTGCATACTTACAAGGCCTGGAGTTGAATTTTTGAAGTGTGTATACCAGGCAGATATTTTGTTTATTCACTTCAAATGGGTCCTAATAACTTAAAATTATGTGTGCATCTTGAAAGAGGTACAAAGCAAATAGAAAATTTCATGTGTATATAAATGCTTATGGAGAGAAAGAGGGGTGTTACATATTATATAAATAGACTATTTCTGTGCCACACATTCATTCACACACTGCTCAAAATAAAAGTATACCAGAAAGTTATGAATAAACTCCACCAACTGGTTAATATCTGACAATACTGAACAATTTTAGAAACTGTACTTAGGTTAACAATTCTATCATAAAATCTAATGGTTTCATATTGAATTGTTGTCTGTGTCCCGATAGAGAACTTAGCACTCAGCAACTGAATACCATTCTTTGATCACAAGATTAACATCAGAATTCGGGTTGTTTTAACATTCTAATCTCCCCAAGCGGGCAGCAATTAAACAATCTTTTGGTTGAATATTGACCATCAACACATATACCTATAATATAAACATACAGAGCAGTCTGCATATAGTAAGAGTACAGAAACCCAAATCTTGATTACTTTGGGCAAAATATCTGATACCCTCTAGTCATGTAAGTTACGGCAAATCAGTGTGCCTCTCCAAGGCAAAATTTCCTCACCTCCAAAAGAAGAATGAATATTCTCATTTTCACTATCTTACAGGGATATAAAATAAAATGAAAAAACAAAAGAACCCATACTTTGACATATCTCTGAAAGCACTTTTAATTAGACTGTGTGTTCCTAGATGATGGAGACCAACAGTTATTCATTTTTGCAGGCACAAGGTTTGCCCAATTAGCAGACACTTAGTGAATATTTGCTAAAATAATATAAATGAAAATGAGGAAGTCAGAAAGTCCTTTTCAAATATAAGATATTATATTTATATCTTATATAAATGAAGGCATAATGACATGGATTGACCTGGAGTGTATTACATTTAGTGAAATAAGTCAGACAGAGAAAGATAAATACTCTATGTTATCATTTATATGTGGAATCTGAAAAATAAAATAACCTAATGAATATAACAAAACAGAAACAGACTCACAGATATAGAGAACAAACTAGTAGTTACCAGTGGACGAGGAAAGGGAGGAGGGGCAAGATAGGGGTAGAGGATTAAGAAATACAAACTAGTATGTATAAAATAAATAAGCTACAAGGATATATCGTACAGCACAGGGAATATACCTAATATTTCATAATAACTTTAAATGGAATATAATCTATAAAAGTACTGAGTCACTATGTTCCACACCTGAAACTAATATAATACTGTAAATCAACTATACTTCAATAAAAAAATTATTTTAAAAAGATATTACAATGAAGAAATATTACCGTATCTCTAAACATCTCTGTACTTAGCTTTTGAATTTGCTTCATGTTTTCTATATTATGGTTATCAATCTTTCAAGAGAAAGTAAATTTTGGATAAAGTTGAGTTCAAAGATAAAATGACAAGCAACCTTCACAAGGGGGATTGACTATGTTTTTATATTATGCTTCTAAGAATTTCCAGAAAGCAGCTGTTTTCGCAGATGAACTATGATAGAGATCAGCTTTCTCCCTTTCATTTACCACTTAAAATGACACTTGATTATATTATTCAATGACAATAGTATACTTGAAAGTGTTTTCATTAATGCCAGTTTTTATTCCAATTTTAAATTAAGTATAACTCAATATTTTAAAGTATTTGTCATAGGCTATATTGTACAGCACAGGGAACACAGCCAATATTTTACAATAACTATAAATGGAGTATAACCTTTAAAAATTGTGAATCACTATGTTGTACACCTGAAACTTATATAAAACTGTAAATCAGGGCTTCCTTGGTGGCGCAGTGGTTGAGAGTCTGCCTGCCGACGCAGGGGACACGGGTTCGTGCCCCCTCCGGGAAGATCCCACATGCCGTGGAGTGGCTAGGCCCGTGAGCCATGGCCGCTGAGCCTGCGCATCCGGAGCCTGTGCTCCGCAACGGGAGAGGCCACAACAGTGAGAGGCCCACGTACCGCCAAAAAAAAAAAAAAAAAATTGTAAATCAACTATGCCTCAAAAAATTTTTTTTAATTTAAAACTAAAAATAAATAAATAAAAATAGATTAAAAAATAAAAGTACTTGTCAGTCAGCAGCCTATGACAGAAGTCTGTAAACTACAGCCTGTGAGCTAAATGCAGCCCACTGTCCATGAGTTAATGGATTTTACATTTTAAATGGTTGAAAAAAATCAAAATAACTATATTTTGTGACGTGAAGATCACATAAAATTGACATTTCAGGGTCCATGAATAAGTTTTATTGGAACACAGCCACACTCATTCATTTTCAATATATTGCTTACATCTACTTTCATCTGATAGTGACAGAGGTGAGTAGATGCGACAGAGGCTGCATAGTGTGAAAAAGTCTGAAATATTTACTATCTGACTCTTAACAAAAAAATGTTGGCCAACTCATCTGTAAGGAGATGAACAGTGATATTGGAAGTAATAAAGGAATTAAGCCACACTCCCTTGGACCTTGGGCTACCATACTTTCTGAACTACCTCCTCATTAGGTGGACAGTATAGAAAGTGCCAAAAGTTACTCTACCTGCCATTTTCCTTAGGGGATCTGAAAACAAAAATGGAAAGTGTTAAGCAGAGTTTAAGAGCGTTATAATTGTCATGTAATTCATCAAAGTACAAGTTCTTAATGTATTTCCTCTGAAATGTTTCTTTAAATGAAAATGCTTGTATATACTAGATAACGACAAATTCCTGTACATTGAAGGAAGATAGCAAAGGTGGAGAAAATATTCTATTTTAAAATCAATAGTCTTTACTGTCTTCAAACTTGTTAAAAATACTTTTAAACAATTAATATATGGTTATCTCTTTATAAATAAACTTTTTTTCAGTAGATCAGCAGAGAACTCCAGCTGTTGGCACTAACAAAACTGGGAATACTTTTGGGGGGATACAATGTGTTATGTGGTATTAAAATGAATAAAAAAATCAGATGGTATATAGTAAGGTTCTAAGGGATTGGGAAAGGTCAGGACTGACTAACTTATAGGATATTGCATAGCCTTTAATATTTATTTATTTAATATTTATTTATTTAATGCAGTAGAACTTCCCATGTGCTATGCATTTTACAAAAATTAATTCATTTAATCCTCACGAAAACTTATTAAGGAACATGAACATCCCCATATTACAGGTAAAGAAACTGAGACAAAACAACTAAATAATTTACCCAAAGCATTTAAAAGTATTTTTTAATAAAGCAGGATTAATATAAATTGTATAAATTATCTTTTTTATACAAAGGAGAAGTTAACTAAGGCTTGTTAATTTATCCAAAACCATCCAGCCAGCAGTGCCCAAGGCAGGATTTAAACCTAGGCAAGTTGATCCCAAAGGCCAAGTTGCCTTTCAAGTGCTGCCAAATGAGAAAGGACTTCAAAAGCCTCACCTCAGGCTCTCATGTGAGCTTTAGTCACAGCTGGAGGCAAGTATCCTGTGCAAAGGGCTAAGGCTGAACTGGGAAACAGGTCATGGTGTGAGAGAAGGTGGAGGGTCAATTTACCATGCTTGCCCCCACCCCTGCACCAATAATTAGCCGAGTGTCCTTAGATAAAATACTTAAATTCCCTGTGCTCTGGTTTCCTTATCAGAAAAAAAGGATGATAACAGTAACTATTTCACAGCATGGCTGTTGGGATTAAATGAATTAATACAAATACTGGCACACCGTGCTCGTAAGTGCTTGCTATTATTTCTGGAAAACCCAGAAGTTGTGACAAGACTATGCCAAAGATGCATACACTGTTAATTATGCTCATGCTCCCCTGCATGGTGGGCCACAGCTACCACCCACATGCTCCAAACCTTCAGAGGACTCAGTCTAGCACAGAGGTTAAGAGCAAGAGCTATAAAGTCAGCCACTTTGTTTCAAAATCCCTCTTATACTCTAACTTAAAAACTCTCTGACCTTGGGCTAATACTTCATCCTTTTAAACCTGTTTGCTCCTCTGCAAAATAAGTATTAATAATGATATTTTTGCTGAAAGAGTTGACGATTATGTGAGCTCAGGAATGTGAAGCAGCCAAAAGTATTCACTCAGTAAATGTTCACAAGTATTATACTGCAGGTCGTAAGTAGGGAAGAAATGTCTTAAAAAGAGGTGTCTGGGGCTTCCCTGGTGGCGCAGTGGTTGAGAGTCCGCCTGCCAATGCAGGGGACACGGGTTCATGCCCCGGTCCGGGAAGATCCCACATGCCACGGAGCGGCTGGGCCTGGGAGCCATGGTCACTGAGCCTGCGTGTCCGGAGCCTGTGCTCCACAACGGGAGAGGCCACAACAGTGAGAGGCCCGCATACTGCAAAAAAAAAAAAAAAAAAAAAGAGGTGTCTGATTTACCCAGAACTGTTATGTTGATCAACACATCCCTTCCAGAGCGGCCGTACACGGAGACGTCAAAATCACCTTAGTGTAGCACTGAAGAGCTTTAGGAGCACGCTGAGGTCACATCTAATCTGACTTCAGCCTCCCTTCAGTGCCAAATAAAAGCAGTGTGACTTGTCAGCAGCAAGCTGGGGATATGAATTCCTAAGGGCTTACCCTGGCCCAACTACAATTTAATATATCTCCTTGAATATATTATTTTGCCTTTTTCTGACTCAGTTTCTTCATCTGAAAAATCAGCATTAGGAACATGAATTTATAGGATTGACATATACACACTACTATATATAAAACAGATGACTAATAAGGACCTACTGTATAGCACTCTACTCAATACTCTGTAATGGCCTATATGGGAAAAGAATCTTAAAAAGGAGTGGATATATGTATATGTATAACTGATTCACTTTGTGGTACACCTGAAACTAACACATTATAAATCAACTATACCCCAATAAAAATTTAAAAAATAAATTTTTTAAAAATGAATATATATTTAACAAAATAGTATTGAATTACAGTATTCATATCATATTGATTCATTGTTAGAGCATACATAATAAACACAAAAGGATATTCCATTTGAAATAAAGAGTTCCACAAAACATGTGCATTTTTAAAGTCTATTTACCTAAAGTCAAGTACATGAATGTCCTTGTAGCCCAGGAGCCCAGTAAATGCATTTTCCACCTGTTAAAAATAAAAATAAACTTTATAGCTATGTAGAAATGTAAAAAAAGTACATAGAAAAAATGCTTTTAAGAGTCGAATATAAAGTGCACTGTTTACAGCCATTAGAAGCTTACACACACATGGATATATGTGGATCAGAAAGTTAAGAAAATTATAATTGTTACAATGTGAGAAAATATTTTTACATCACTGCCACATTTTCCTTTTTCATTTCGATTTTTAAGGTTTTGATGTGCTTTAATATTAATTTTTTCCAAATTATAAAAAACACACTTTTATTGGCAAAGCACTGTTTTTTCCATTATGTGATGAAATGTGAAAAAAGGACTGGTTTCAAAGAAACTGTAATAACATTTTTTAATGTAATTATATGGATTAGAAATCTGGCCACACATGGACATATATACACTACCAAACATAAAATCGATACCTAGTGGGAAGCAGCCGCATAGCACAGGGAGATCAGCTCGGTGCTTTGTGACCACCTGGAGGGGTGGGATAGGGAGGGTGGGAGGGAGACGCAAGAGGGAAGAGATATGGGGATATATGTATATGTATAGCTGATTCACTTTGTTATAAAGCAGAAACTAACACACTATTGTAAAGCAGTTATACTCCAATAAAGATGTTAAAAAAGAAAGAAATCTGGCCACAGCACACACGCTAACACACAGTCAGGTGCTCATTTCCTCTAAGTGTAAAATGTCTGGTGGCATCTGTTTCCTACTCCTACAACACAAGGGACTGTGAACACAGCTAACTTAAGAAAGAAATCTGCAGACCTGGGCTTAGGCCTTGTTGACTGCTTGTCACGAAGGAGGTTATAAAGCAGTAACTGGTCAAAAGATCAATTTATGAGCATCACAACTGCAGGAACCAGTTTTATTACTGAGTTTTTTAAATCAAGCCACATAAATCAATATAAGCTTAGTGACTAGAGTGGGGGGAACTGCTAGATTGGACCAAATACCTAAAAAAATTAGTTATGCATAAATACATATTTAACAAAATCGAACATTTTATCCACAACATTTCAGAAGGTGACAATCTCACCAGATGAGTCACTAGGGGGCCGACACTAGAACAAGAGAAGTTGTTAGTGGACTTCGGGGACATCTCTGGGCATCTGCTTTTAAAACCAAGTCCACATATAATCAGGAGAATGGGATTTTTTAAAAATCTTGGTTCACCGAAGATATTCATGCTTTGCAGATAAAGAATCCAAACATGTGAAACTTTTTAGCTATAATAATTGCCTTGTTTCATTCTCTGAAAGAAAACTGAGAAGTACTATTAATTCTTGGAGGATGGGGCTGGGGATAGAATCTGCAGGACTAGGAATCCAAAGACTGAGGGTTGGTGCCAGCTGTTTTTACTGGCAGAGTGGCCAGGCACAAGTCTTCTTTTATATGATTAATGCTGCCCTGCCCACCAACCACATTAGTTTTTGTAAGGTTAAAATGAATGTAGCTGAAAGTACTCCATTAATTGCAAAATGCTGTACAAGTGCATGTTGTTATTAATACTAAACCCAACTCATCTGGGGTTTTGCCATCTCTTGATTCAAATACATATATGTATTCTAATTCATCATACCCAGTTAGCTATGTACAGGTACCCAGTTGTAATAAAGTCATTCCACTTTATTAACATCAAGTTTAGTAACAGGTACAATTTACTGAGTGATTGCTATGTACCTGGTGCTTTGATATAATATTACTTCTAATCCTTTCAACAATACCAAGAGATACATATCTTTCCCATTATATGGTTGAGAAAACTGAGACTCTGAGACGTCAACTAATTTGTCCAGATCATGCATTTGGTAAGTGACTGAATCCAAATTTGTTTAATCCCCAATCTTTCTACTGAAATACATGCCTCATCCTCTTTCCCCTGACAAATATGGTTTTAAAACTGGGACCAGGACTGGGAAAACTGTGAGGCTCACCACAACTTCTCACCTGAATTAAAATGAATGGTACTCTGTATTGATATAAAGGAAGGAACACTTTCAAAGGAAGGAGGAGACCTGATTTTCCCTTCTGCTCCTAGAAGCTGACATGAAATGACCATGAACAAGCTACTTGCCCTCCTGGGTTTCATCTATAAAATGGAGATGATTACCCACATGGCTGCTGTTAGCAAACAGATATACAGCAGGCTGCAGAACACAAAGCACTATGCGAGGACACTGTGTTGATTCCATGTCTGTTGTCAGGTATCCACACTCCCAAGCCTATCACAATGACCTTTCCCTCTCTGATGTCATTCTTGGTGATATCTCAAGTTTACCTTGCTCTTCTCCTCATAAAAAATAAAAAAAATAAAAAATAAAAATTTAACAGCTCCCGAACCTCAATCCTCCCAAGCAGGCTTTCTTTTCCCCTGTGTCTTGCAATATTACCTAAGAAATAATATTGAAGGAACAATTCCTGTGACTGTGTCCTGAAGGGAGAGAGCTTGAGGGCCTCCTTCAGTTTGCAGTAAACATGGAGACAGGACCTTTCAGAGACATGACCCTGACTCTGCAGTTCCATATAAAGAAGTGGCTATTCGTAAACATTTTATTCCAGGTAAAAGGACAGGGATATAGAAAAAGGCCAGAGAAGGAACGGATCCTTCATCACCCTCAAATCACCTCAAGCCAATAGCTACCTATACCTCATAAAGTCCCTGCTGGAAATGTTTTTTCACAGTGTTTATTAGACTTTCTCTAAATATGCAGTCATTCAGCACAATTGTTTACCCAAACACTGAGGCTTACTAAAGGTTCCTTAATCCAAGGGCAGAGAGAACCAAACAGCTGATCCAAGACACTATCTGATGCCAGGTGGCCACTGGCCTGGCTGACATTTCTTCCACACACCATACAGCCTCACAACTTGGCAGCACAGCTAGGAAATTAATTGTCTGGCCTACATTCTCTGTGTCTGATGGCTGCAATAATGCTGCTTGGCTGAGAGATGCACATTTTTGTTTCTCATCTAAACAGTGTAAAGAGAAGGAAATTAGTCCAAGGTAATGGAATTGAAAAACTTAGCCAAAGAGAATTCCATCAAGAGCAATGGAAAAGAAATAAACAGGAAGGAATGATGTGCCCTCTCACTGGACAGAGAGAGTAGATGGGCACTCAGTGCCTTACAGTCTATATAAGAGCAAAGGCACACAAGAAGGGGGCCAAGAATGGGTCATTTTTGACTGAAAGAATCTTGAGTTCAAGCCCCTATATAGAATTCTTCCAGAAAGTAAAGTTGTGGGATGGTTTAATGCACAATTCTTTAAAGAAACCCCCTTTTAAAAATACTTCCAACCAAGGAACAGAGATAACAGGAAAATTTACTTTTCACTGGATATCCTTTTGTCCTTTGAAGATGGTGCCTCATACTACCTATTATTAACTGTTCAAAATTTTTCAACTTAAAAAAAGAACAAATATAAAATTAAAAAAATTAAATGTAATGTTCCCTCAAGAAAAACAACACACTAAATACAGTTTCTCAAAGATACTCATTTCTCCAAATATCATCAAGTTAAAACCATGCCATAGAACACACTCTTCCTTGGCTGTGCAGCCGAAGTTGGAAATAGCATTTATTTGTTAGCAGATGGCAAACGCATACAAAATTTTGTTTCAATGAAATAGTTCATCTTTCAGTGAACTTTTCACAGAGCTTTCTAAAGAAATGGCTAAATCACCACTCCCTGAATCAAATAGATGGAAAGCTTAAATCCGAAATCTACCTTTAACCAGTGCTGTTAATATGGGAAATTTACAACCCCAGCAAACTATCTTGTATACAAAAAGAAAAAAAAGAATAAAAACATACAAGAAAATCACCCACCTCTGAAATAAACTCTTCTACAAGGCGCTGGTGGTGAAAGCTGGAGGGATCCTGTAGTTCTTCATTGTATTGTTCCCCCAAAAGGTGGATACTGAATTCTGCAACCTGCTCCACTGCTGGTTTTGTGGATTCTTCTATCACATTCTCAATTTCGTTGCTAATCTGGATTTTTAGAGAAAGAACAATAAATGTTCACTCATTCAGTCAACAAATATTCATTGATCACCCATGATATGCCAGACACTGTGCCAAAGGCAACTTCTGATGACGACTATCTATATAATATTTGACTTTGAAACTAACTGGTGGACTTTAAGACATAGGCTAATATTAAAATTACTGTGTATTTGTACATTCCTTTGAATACACAATGACTGGTTCAGGGAAGGATAGAAAATTTTGTTAGTAAATAAATAAAGGAAAAAAATTTAAAGAAGAAAAAGAGTTGAAATTATCATCTAAAAATAGTCTAGAAGGGTGGTTCTCAAACTTTTTGGTGTTAGGACCCCTTTAAACTCTTAAAATTCATTGAGGAATCCAAAGAAGTTTGGTTTTTGTGGGTTATATCTATAGATACACACCAAACAAAAAATTTAAAAAGAAATTTTAAATATATATATTAATTCATTTCAAAATAAGAAACTCATTACATGTACAAATGAATAACATATGTTTTGCCAAATAAAAAAATTAGTGAGGAGAGTAATGTTTATATTTTTACAAATTCTTTAAAGTCTGGCTTAATAGAATACGGCTAGATTCTCATATCTGCTTCTGCATTCAATATGTTGTTTTAGTTGAAGTACATGAAGAAAATCCAGCCACACAGATATGTATTGGGTAAGGAAGGAATACATTAATAGCCTTTTCAGATAATCATGGATAATCTTTTCTGATACTGTGCCAAACTCAATGAGTGGAAGTCTTTTAAAGGTTAGTTTCTATGTGGAATCTGAAACCACACCAACAAACTTTTTGTACTCTGTAACATCTAAATCCAGGTCTTCCACAAGCCAACGCTGGAACAATTTGAGCAACAAAATAAATAGTGGATTATAATCCAAAGAATAAAAGAAATATCCATGAGTCTGTACTGATATAAATAAATAATTTAATAAATAAACAAGAGAGAAGTGGCAATAGTTCCTTACCGAAGATTCCCAATTAACAAATGTAGAAGGAATGAGGAAAATAGAATATCACTACTAGAACCCAACAGTAATAACTGTTGCATGCAAGATACACTTGTGCTCATCTAATCCAAGTCCCTCCATTTTAATACACAAGAAAAACAGGGATTGAGATGGAAGAATGGCCTAAGGGCTAACAGCAAGCCAATGGCAGAGTCAGGAAGAGAATACCGGGCTTTTTCCACTGTATCATCTTTCTTCCCTGATGGATCAAAAAACCACAGACCTTCAAAACTTCACAACTGGAAAGAACCTCAAAAATTTCACCATCCTTTCTGATGCCTGAATTCTCTCTCCAGTATCTCCCCCAAATATCTATTCATCCTCAGTTTAAATGGCTCTGATGAGAAAGTCTTGGAAAGACTTTCAAAGGCAAGCCATTACATTTCCAAAAAAGCTCTCTCATGGTTGTAAAGTTCTTAATAAAACCCAAATATATTTCCCTGTAAATTCCTACTGATCTCAGTTCTGCAAACTGGAATGCGTATAAAAAGTGTAGTCCCCAGACAGCCCTTCAAATAAGTATAGGCAGCTGTCATCTTCCCTGATTTTTCACTAGTTCCTTTCCTCTAGCGACTTCTCAAGCTCTTAATGTCTTCCTTAGAGTGTGGTACACATAAGTGAGGTCTGATCAATTAAAATATGGTACAATTAAAATATGGTACAATTATCACCTTCCTTATAGTAGATTCTAATTTCTATTAATGCAGCCTGAAAGTACACTTGCTTTTACTAGTTGTTTTCCCCTCAGTACTCAGCTTTTTTCCCCATCATACTGCTGAGTCATGTTGAAACTAACAAAAACCTTTAGTCTTAAGGAATTTTGTACAAGAATTTGTCTTCTTCCATATTAAATTTTCTCTCACTAAATTTGAACAGAAACTTCCACTTCTATTATTACTATATAAGAAATATCCTTAGTAACCTTACTGCTACAGAATGCCTAAAATGCTAAATAAATATTTTTAATGCATAGCTGGTTTGTAAGAAAATAAAGAAAGCTCCAAGGTATCCAAAAAGATAGGTTAGAAAAATCCAGAGAGGTGATTCAGTAATCTATGTGTACATAGTATATCTAGTGATCCCTTGTGACCTAGGCTTTAGTTTTAAATACCACAAAGGGATAGAATATAAATAGCAGGTCCATACATGTTGAAAAGTCAGATCAAAGACTCCTACATAAAGCAAGGATTTTAAAAACTCAATAGACAGTTTGAAAAACAAATTAGACTAAGTTGAAAAAAGAATAAGTGAACTGGAAGACATTTCTGAATGCAACACAGAGAGACAAAGAAAGTTATGAAACAGTGGTTAACCGACAGAATGTATAAAATGAGGAGGTCAGACATATATCTAATCATACGAGGCAACAGCTGAAAATTTCTTCTATATACATTTTTGTGAAACCAGTATCCTCAATACTGTATTATATACTTTTATATCATAGTATGGTTATAGTAGTATATGATACAGTATTTGGGATACTATATAATACTAAATGATATAGTATTGGGGATACTATATACACAAGCATACCTCATTTTATTGAGCTTCCCTTTATTGTACTTTGCAGATACTGCATTTTTTAGAAATTGAAGGTTTGTGGCAATCCTGAGTCAAGCAAGTCCATCAGCGCCTTTTTTCCAAAAGCATTTGCTCACTTCACGTCCCTTGTCACATTTTGGTAATTCTCACAATATCTCAAATGTTTTTATTATTATTATATTTGTTATAGCAATCTGTGATCAGTGATCTTTGATGTTACTACTAGACTTCCTCAAGGCTCAGACGATGGTTAGCAGTTTTGAGCAATAAAGTATTTTTTAATTAAGGTATATACATTGGTTTTTTTAGACATAATGCTATTGTACACTCAACAGACTATAGTAGAGTTTAAACATAACTTTTATATGCACTAGGACACCAAAAAGTTCGTGTGACTTGCTTTATTGCAATATTCACTTTATTATGGTCGTCTGGAACTGAACGCACAGTATCTCTGAAATATGCCTGTAGCAGTATACTATACTACAGTATACTTACAGTAGTACACTATATAGTATATGGGATTCTGCAGTTTCACAGCAATGGGGATAAGAGTGTGATTATGTTTATTTATTTTGCTTTGGATTTGTTGTGCTTCCTTAACATGAAACTTTATTACTATTATAAATTTTGAGAAATTCTCAGTCATTATCTCTCATCATTAGATATAGATAGAGAGAGAGAGCAATATCTTAAAAGTAGGACAAAAAAATAGTAAGATGACCCACAAGGGAATAAGAACTAAATTGTTAGTTGAGCTCTTAGTAGCAACAATAAAAGTTAGAAGATAGTGAAATAAAACCTTGAAAATAAAAAACTCAATCTAGAATTTAATACAGATTTTAAGTATCTTTCTAGAATAAGAGGATAATAAAGAAAATTTCAGGTGACCAAAAACTGAGATTGAACCAGTGAGATATTCTCACTAAAGTAATACCAGAAGCATATATTTCAGAAGGAAAATTAGTCCAGAAGAGAGGTCTAAAATGCAAAAAAGAGTTTTAAGAAAATAAAGTGGTAAACATCTGGGTAAATGCAAAACAAACTTTAAAGGGAAAGAACAAAAATACTGAAAAATAGCATATAAAATAGTAGGGTGATCATTTGAATCATTCTAATATTCTAATGTTCCTGTATTACTCAGGATAAGCATAAAGATTCTGAAAAACTTAAATTTTGCTAGATTAAATACACATAATAACACACAGGGTAAATAGTAACAAAACAGAAATAAAGTATATAATTTCTAAAATGGTATCTGGAAAATGTATTAGGAAAAAACTGAACTGTAAAACTGTACATTAGGCTTCACTTTGAACTAGAGGTACAGGCAATCTAATTCCTGTCATGTATCCCTGTACTATTCTGTTTTCCTACTGATTCTATAAATCACCTTCAAATCACCCTCTCTGTTTTAGAATGTTCCAATTGATTACACACAATGTCTTCATTTCTATTATAGTGAATTCTATCTCATTCTGTAAATGTTTCCAGACCTAAATCATAACTATTCTGCCTCAAGTTCAGAACTACAGTATAACTTTTTATTCAAATATTTATCAAATGCCAATATTTTCTAGTACCATCTAATTTGGACACAGTTGTACTAAGGGTAAATATATTGATTCAAGAATCCCAAACTACCACCAGCCTTGTTCAGTGACAGGGAAAGTGGTGGGGCAGAGTGGGGTGACTTAACCTGACTTCTCAGAAGTTAAAATGTCCAAGTTGGTAAGAGAAGGTGTAAGGTAACAAAATTGTACCTTTCTAGTGAGTACGTTCAATCAGAGTTTGCTTATATTATCTAGGATTTATGCATATTTAACAAAATTTCTAACAAAATGTTTCTATCTTCCTGGAAGTGTATACTTTTTAAAAATTTTTCAATGTGATAGAAAGCCAACTTAATGTTGTTTAGTGGACAGATTACTATTAATAATGATGCATTTAAAAAGCATGGTATTTCTTTAAACTACATAAAATCTATATACTTTCCCTCTGAAGAAGACTAAGTCCTGATTTATTAAGAGACAGAAGAACATAAGCAAAAACCCTCACAGTAAATTATGTACACAGCCCACAAAAGACAGTGGGCTTACCATGATGACAGCTCCCCAGGCCCCTAGACATTTCATTTACAATTTGAAGCCATTCCTTGCCAAGAGCAGATTTACTTGGCTCTCTAAGGAATCGCAGATTTTTTGTACTGGTTTTAGAATCTACATTTCCATAAAGGGAACCACCTGAAGTTTTGTGTAGTCTGGCAATGGACTATAAATCTCTCTTAATCCCTATTCTCCATGCTAGAAACTAAATAACAAAACAGAACATCACTCACACTCTCTTCTGGCTTCTCCAAGCTGCTCTCTGAGATACCTTCATAAAAGGTCACCTCTGGATATGGAACACTGAGACTGGCACCTAAGTAGAAAAACAAAGACATGTGCATGAATTCAGTCCATGACTAAATCAGAATTCCTATCAGGAAGCAAGAAACTGATGTCCAAGGCATTTCTAAGTCATTTACTTTTTCATCCTAGAAATTCTGTGCATTCTAACCTCAAGACACATTTATCCAGAGTCTCCTCAGCACAAGAAATAAATATGACTCATTCAACAAGCATTTATTGATACGTACTATATGTCAGGCTCTATGCAAGCCTCCAGGGATACAAAGTCCCTATCCTTAAGGAGCTATCTAATAAAACTAACACTCTCAGACAGGGGAAGTGGGTGAAGGTTGGAATTGGCCATAAGTTATAATCTTTTTTAAATTGGGGTATATTTGCTTTACAATGTAGTGTTAGTTTCTGATGTACGGCAAAGTGAATCAGCTACATGTATACATATATCCCCGCTTTTTTGGATTTCCTTCCTATTTAGGTCACCACAGAGCATTGAGTTCCCTGTGCTATACAGCAGGTTCTCATTAGTTATCTATTTTATACATGATAGTATATATATGTCAATCCCAATCTCCCAATTCAACCCACCCCCCTCCCATAAATTATAATTACTGAAGCTGGGCCTCATTGTGCTATTTTTGTATATGTTTGAAATTTCCAACATAGAACAGCTTTTTTAAAAAAAAATTAAAAATAAAAAAAGCGGGCTCCCCTGGTGGCACAGTGGTTGAGAGTCCGCCTGCCGATGCAGGGGACACGGGTTCGTGCCCCGGTCTGGGAAGATCCCACATGCCGCGGAGCGGCTGGGCCCGTGAGCCATGGCCGCTGAGCCTGCGCGTCCGGAGCCTGTGCTCCGCAGCGGGAGAAGCCACAACAGTGAGAGGCCCGCGTACCGCAAAACAAAACAAAACAAAACAAAGAAAGCAACTACTAATTTATAGGAAATATAGAGGTCAGAGTAAATGTTAAAGTACACCACAGAATGCAATCAGAAAAAATTCTTACTCTGGAAAACTCTACAAGACAAATGACACATGGTGGAGCTAGAAAGGTCCTACCTTTTGACATAAGCAGTGATCACAGGGTGTTTGCCATAAAACAATTGTTTAGGTTGTACATTTGTTTTAAGCAGTTTTCCGATTTTGTATTATACTTAATAATTAAAGATTCTTAAGTACCCACCTCATAATGTCATAAAATAAGTGAAAAAAGAATTAATTTTTCTTGAGACTCTTGAACAACACATAGAAACACATGGTATTTTTAAAATGTGAGCTGAAAAATTTGCTTCCTTTCAATTTGATAATAAATTTTAGAAGAAAAGTGAATAAAGGCACAAAAGCATACCTCCCAATGTTGAGGTATCACCAACAGGAACTGCAGATGACAATTCAGGGCTAGGAAAAAAATTGTTTGGAGTTATTAAATGATAGAAATGTGAGGGGTTATTTTGGGGTTTGTTTTCCAAAAAGGATTCACCAGATCTCCAAACAACGATTCCCAAAGTACTAAGTAGCAAATTAAAAAAAAAAAAAAATAGTCTTTACAATTGATTTATTTTACATTTTTTGATGCTACTCAACTAGAATCACCCTGCATAGAGTACTCCCTTACTTACTATTTCATAACACTGTTTTGTTTCTTCTCAGTTCTTATCACTATGGGAAATTATCCTGCTCATTTATTTATCTACTTTCTGATCTCTGTCCACGCCCTAATCCTCTAGAATGGCATTGTCTAATATGGTAGCCAGTGGACATATGTGGCAATTTAAATTAATTTAAAATTAAAGTTTAAAATTCAGAACTTTATCTACACTAGCCACATTTCAAGTGTTCAACAGTCACATGTGGCTAATGGCTACTTTATTGGACAGCCCAGAACATGTCCATCAACACAGAAATTCCTATTGAATAAGACTGCCTCAAGAATCTAAACTCCATGAGATTAGGGACCTTACCTGCCATATTCATGCTGTATCTCCACCCTAAAAAAGAACCTACCATTTAGTAGGCACTGAATAGATATTTTGGGAATAAATAAATAAATACTATTGGCCAACCAGTGTAGTGTAGAAGGCAGTTGACATACAGTTGTGAACAAAACACCCATGGTCTAAGAAGGTTACCATCTAATAGAAAACAGATAACAAATACATGATTACAAACTCAACAAGTAGTAAAGACACGAAAGCACTGGCTGCTAAGGCGAACATATAAGCCCAAATCTCATCTCATTTGAGAGATCACAGAGTCATAAAACTTTTTAATATAAAACAAGTCAAGCTTAGAGAAATGATTTGCTATAGGCCACATTGCTCTCAGGTTTCAGGTCCCCGACTATCTTTTTACCATGTTGCCCTGCAACTGAAAGCAAAGATCAGAAGAGATCAGAGGATAATCTGAGAAAGCCCTTGCTCTAAAGAAAAGAAGGTGGGTTTCTGCAAGTCCAAATTTCCATATACCCCCAAAACATACAATTTAAATTATAGTAATTGAAAACTCTCTTCAACTTTCCACAAGTCACCTTTCGAAGGTGAGTTAATCACAGTCAAAATGTCTCCCTCTCAGACTTGCTAATGTCTCAGTGAGTCCCATCTTCACTTCAGAACCACCCCTTTAAATTGTCCTGCTGCTCTAAACTAGATCATGGTGGGGCAGGGGGAGGGTTGCTCACAGCCACCAGATAAACATGGCACACATCTTGAAGCATCAATTTTTTACTCGAAAGTAAAAGCATAGGCAGGGAGCTAAGTAAAAACTGATATGGAATTTAAAACATCTTAATATTAAAACAAGTGTGGCTATAGAGTAGAATATAAAGTTTAAATGAATATTAAGATAAAATATGATAGTTTCAAAGACATTTCATGACTGGAATTGGAGTGGGGGAGTCAACTAGGGCCATGTTCCCTAAAGCCCCAGGCTTTGGTAGAAAATTTGAGAAATATAGGTTAAAAAAAATCTCACCATAAGGATTCTTCTGGTTTTAGAAATACTATCTAGAAAGACTAACATATTAAACCAGTACACCAAACCTACCACTATTGGTTATTTTTCATCCACTTGCAGGAAACTGCTTACTAAGTGAGCTGTCATCCAAAAGAACCCAAAGGAATAGGACATCTGGATAAGTCATTTTGATGAATGATGAGTAGAGGAAGACCTGGATGATGAGAAAGCACCAAGAGGCTTCTTGGGTTGCAGGAGACGGAGCTTAAAAAACTAGGATTCAGATGCATTTGGAAGAGACATTAACATCATCAGGCTTGAACAGGATTTATCAACTGTCCACAAGGCAGAATCCCTCCCAATACCTTCACTTTATAGATGAAAAATCAAGGTGCAAATGGGTAAAGCAATTTTCTCAGGGTCACACAAAGACTTGATGACCCAGGGCCATACCTAAAATTCCTAACCATATCCAGTTCGCTTTTCAATGATGATAATAGCAAGAATGACTACAACTAAATTTATCGTGTCAAGCATTGTGTTAAGTGCTTTATCTTGGTTAACTCACTTAATTCTGGCATCAATCTTAAAAGGAAGACACTATTATCCCCATTTATGCATATGAGGAAACTAATGATAGAAGAGATTAAGAATTTGCTCAGGGTCACACAGCTAGCCAATGAAGGAGCTGTGATGTAAAAGAGGCCCATTTGATTCCAGAAACCTCACTCTTACCCACATTAATTCCACATCACATGGACTTTATGTGACCCATATTCCCTAGAAGAGCAACCAAGATGGTTTTACTTGGTCTTAATGATAGTGGTGTAAATAAACTAAAAGACCTAAAAGTCAAAATGTGTAAGGACCAAGAAAGAGAAAGGGAAACCCAGTCAAATCTGGAGAGCAATCAAGTATGAAGAGCAAAGAGGTCAAAGTAAAACAAAGCACAATACTACAGTAACTAGAATAGGAAGCTGGGATGGCATGGCAGAGAAACCAGACCTCACCTGGGGTTGGTCAAATTGTCCCCCAAATTAAAATCAAATTTAAGCTAATTCTCTAAGTAAATACTCAGAATGGAGAAGTCTGCTCACTTCAGTAGAACTAGATTTCACTTACTAAATTCAAAATAACATTATTTTAATGATGGTAAGTAGGCAACTCTCAGTAACTCAAATCGTTTGTCTTACACTTAATCCCTCATCCTCCCACACTTCCTTCAAAAGACAGTAACAAGAATCCTTTCACATTTTCTCATTAGGTGTGCCTCCTGCAGGGATACCCTAAAATGTGACTCACAACAGAACTAGAACACAGAGTAGTCTTGGGTTTGGAGACAGAAATGCTTCATTTCTAGGCCAACCCACAAATTTGAAGTTGGTCAGCTAAGACCTTCAGCTTAATACCAGGAGCAAACAACCCCCTACTGTCTCATTTTCTCAGTTTATCCAGCTCATAATTTATTCCTCACAACTACTACCTAATCATGTCAGTGGAATTCAGATGGAATTGTGCCAAAAGATATCATAGCCACATGGAATATATGTTTAAAAATACAGTAAAACAAGCCAACAATACTTTCATATCTAGATTACTACTCCCCTTTACAATTTACTATACTTTGCTTTGCTCTAGAATCTGTTAACTGTAATGAGCATGTGACAACAAAAGAACATAAGGCAAGGAATTAGGAATCCTGGGTTCTAGTCCCTGATGTATCACCAACTTTGTGTATAACTTGGGAAAATACCTCAGTTCCTCTGGGCCTCAAGAACTAATCTCTAAAATAGGAAAACCTCCTGCCCTACCTACTTCACAAGGGTGCTGATGAAAACTAAATAAAATATTATATGCAGAAGCATTAGGAAAAGAAGCAAGGTGCCATTGCTAGGGGGCGCACCACACAGGCAAGGTGCCATTGTTGGGAAGAGCACAAGGAGAGGGGCGGGACTGCCATAGAAGCTTCTTTCTCTGCAGCAGGGCACCGCCTACACGAGCTCCAGGTGCGAGCTGCCGCTGCCATCTTGGACTTGAGAGGCAGCTTGGACCCGCTGCCCCCGCCTTCCTCAGAGCATGTGCGTAGGGCCACGCACCTGCACACACTCTATCAAGGGGATAAAGGACAGCACATGCTGAGGAAAGAGACGGCAATCATTCAAACCAAAAACAGCCCTCACACCAAAAAAATATTAAACCCACACGAGCTATGCAGGGGTGAGCCCGCATATAAATAGCCCTCCAAGACTACAGTAGATAATTGTTTCTCCTAAACTCACAAAATGAGAGAAATATAAGTAAAATGAAGAAGCAGAGGAACCACTCCCAGTTAAAAGACCAAGAGAATTCCCCTGAAGGAACAAACAATGAAACAGACCTCTTCAGTCTAATAGACACTGAGTTCAAAAAGGAAGTAATGAAAATACTGAAGGAATTAAGAAAGGTTATCAACAGAAATTCAGATTACTGTAAAAAGGAACTAGAAACTATAAGGAGGAACCAAGAAAAATTAGAAAATTCATTTGCTGAGACAAAAGCTGAGCTAAAGGCAATGAACAGCAGAATGAGTAATGCAGAAGAAAGAATAAGTGATCTGGAAGATAGAATAATGGAAATTACCCAATCAAAACAGCAGACAGAAAAACAAATGAAAAAAATGAAAGCAATATAACAGACCTATGGGATAATACAAAACATGCCAATCTATGCATAATAGGGATTCCAGAAGGAGAAGAAAGAAAAAAGGGGATGGAAAATGTATTTGAATAAATTATGACTGGAGCTAAGGGGAGATGTTTTCAAGATGTCTGGCTGGAGACAAGTGCTGGAGGAGGGCTTTTTTTCAGACAGGTAACCTGGGAACACTTGAGCATGTTTAAATGCTAATGAGCAGTTAGTAACAGGAGAAGTTGAAGACTCAGGAGAGAGAGAAAAAAACAATGACAGGTTGGTGTCTAAAGGGTAAGATGGGATGTGAGGTCCCGAGTGAGGTGGAAAATGCTTTTTTTTAATAGACTTGCCAGATGATAGTAGGGGGAAGGTTAAATTGGAACACAGCAGACTATTTGGTACAAGCCATATGTTAGCAGACAGGTTAGAGTTCATGTAGAAGAAGCAATTTAAATTACAGACAAGTATTGTGGTAAGCAGAATAATGGTCTCCCAAAGATGTCCACATCCTAATCTGCAGAACCTGTGACTATGTTAGGTTACATGCAAAGGGGAATTAAGGTAGCAGATGGAATTAAGGTTGCTAATCAGCTGGCCTTAAGGAAGAGGGTGTATCCTGGTTTATTCAGGGAGGCCCAATGTAAATGTGGAAGGAGGAGGCAGAAGAGTGTCAGGGTGATAGAATGTGAGAAAGTCTCGACCAGCCACTGCTAACTTTGAAGATGGAAGGGGGTCACAAGTCAACAAGTGTGGGCAGCCTCTAGAAGCTAAAAAATGCAAGAAAACAGATTCTCCCCTAGAGCCTCCAGAAAGGTAACGCAGACCTGCCAGCACCTTGAGACTCATGTCAAACTTTTGAACTACAGAACTGTAAGATAAATTTGTGGGGTTTTGTTTTGTTCTGTTTTGTTTTGTTTTGTTTTCTGCGGTATGCGGGCCTCTCACTGCTGTGGCCTCTCCCGTTGCGGAGCACAGGCTCCGAACACACAGGCTCAGCGGCCACGGCTTATGAGCCCAGCCGCTCCGCGGCATGTGGGATCTTCCCAGACCAGGGCACAAACCCGTGTCCCCTGCATTGGCAGGCAGACTCTCAACCACTGCGCCACCAGGGAAGCCCAAACTTGTGTTTTTTTAAGCTACCAAAGCTTGTGGTAATTTGTTGCAGCAGAAATAGAAAACTAGTACCAGAAGCTCAACACAGAAAATGAGAGTAATCTCAAGAAAATCATAAAAATAAATTTAAATATAGAAAAGTGATGGGAAAATTACGGGTTTTAAGGGATGACTATAATATTCAGCTTAAAGAAAGAGGGGTTTAGTGAATTCCTACACCACTCCCATGGTTTCACTCCCAGTGTTACCTAACTCCAGGTCACCTCATTTCAGCAAGTACCATTTCAGCAAGTACCACAACTTTTCATCCCACCCCGACCTGGTCTGCTCTAGTTTCATGGGAAGGATACCAACTTTTAAATTCTCAAAATTCAGTTATATTTTTGTTCATCTGTATTGCTATTTTTACTCATGTCCTATTTTCTAAGGATGGTGCATAGTATTTTGAGTCTCCTCGTTTATCTAGGACATACAGTGCCTTAATAAAAATATGTGACACAGTCAGTTCTCTATGATGTTTATTTATGAATGTTTCAACATGGTTAACACATCAGGAAAACTAAGTATAATAAGAATTTGTCTTCTACACATACACAATTTCATTACAAGAAAACAGCAGGTGAATGCAGAAAACTGCACCCAGTTGAAGTGAGCTACGTAGGAATACACAAACTACAGCTCAAACATCTTCCAGCTACCTCTGTTCACCTCATGTGTTGTGTTATGACACCAATCCACATATGGTGTTACAACTTTCCATTCTATTTCAGATAACCCTCCTTCCACCACTTTATAGTAACTCACAAGCTACAATCTTTCCAATGTCCATTTTCACAGGTAAACTCCAAGGTTTCTTCCAGGTTAAGAGCCATATTTATTATGGTTTTTATATACTTCTTAACCATATAAGATATGTAAGATGTGCTATCATTTTTATTACATACAACCATGAAGATTACTGGCACTGGTAGGACCCACAAGATTATCTACTGCATTTAGTGTTGCAGTGGCAATCACAAGTAACCTCCAAGCTCTGGCTCTCAGAGGTGAAGAACACACATTTAAAGCACCACATGGCCCCACATCTAAGCAGGAGCTCAATCCCAGGCCCCAGCATAGACTCAGTGGTACTGTTAGCTGTATGAAGTGAGACCACAAGGAGTCCCACTTTCCTCCTGTTTACTCATGTTTGATTTGAAACTTACATATATCCCACTACAACCCACAGGTGTACTCCAGCTATGCTTTTGCCTGGACTCTGCTGCCCAGGCTAGACCTCTGGACACTGACTCACCTAGTTGGTTTTTCAATCTGTTCTTCCATCTAATTTGAGGCAAAATTCTGGACTCTGACCTGAATTGCATGCCCTAGTGATGTTTTTTAAAAAAAATCACTTACATGCCGGCATAATCTAGATATTTTGAGTATGGATAGAATTGGAAATCTTTAGTCCCTGTAGGCTCAAAATCCCTCAGCTTCCATGATTTGCTTTGTCCTGCTACTGTTCAGGAGCCAGAAATGACCTTAATCCTAAGCCTAAAGGCCCACAGAGCCAAGACTCATACCACTGGAGGATTTATCAAGGCTGTGCTATTCCTATGCTTCAACATCATAATCGTCATTACACAATAAAGTGACCCACACCACAACCCATCATTTAGTAAACCATCCTCCACTAAGGTATACCATTTTAGATCAATATTATCATTAGCCTGTAAGCCTCAACAAGGGTAGATCATTTGGTATTCCATTTCCAAAAATCTATTTTCTCACCCAAGAGAGAGGACCAAGTCTGCCTCCTGGGAAGGTCAGACAGTAAACTAGCACAGTGGCTGCAGAGGTGGTCTGGGAAGGGAAGTGGCCTCAAGATGAGGAAAAGCATTTGAGACTTACCCACAGGCCTGGTCATTGCAGGAACTGGCAAGAAAACAGGAAGGAATCATCAAATGTGGGATGAGTCTGGGAATAGGTATGATACATGTCTGTTGCCAAGCATGAACTTAGGGAAAAAAGACACTCACCTGCTTACAGTTTCCTTTGTGTATGTCAGTTTCTAAGGAAAACAAAGATATAAAAATGACCATGTGAATTAATGACAGTTAATAAGCAGTAAACAAAATGTACTGCATCTAGAACACTAATGCCCTAACACAGAATCTATGTTATTATTCTCTATGGCTAGAGAAATAGTTAAAGTGAGGTACTAATGATGCCAAGTCTGTTTTGTGACTCCAAGAATGTCCTGACACTCAAGTCTCTGTGTATGTGCACAAAAGTCCCTGTGCTCTCTTAATGGGCACAGATTAACAGACTTCACCTGCTAATCATTCCAAAAAGATCTACAGGTAAGAGATTAGTAGAGTTTTACATTAACCTTCCATGGACATAGAACCAAACTGTTTTGTGATCTAATACATTTACAGAAACTCTCATCACAGACCAATATAATCATGTGAATAAAATAACTATGAAATCTGATTCTCCAGAATTCAGACAAAAAGATAAATTGATAAATAGTTGGATTATTCCTCTGGGGCATTCCAAAGCAAACTGTCTCCAAGTTTCCTCTAAATTAGTGGTTTTATTTTGAGACCAATATGATAATAAGAACACTAATTTAGAATCAGAAGAATTCCATTTTCTCTTTCTTAGCTATGGAGGTAAATCCCGCAATCTCTCTGGTGCTGGGCCTCAATTTCCCTATCTGTAAAATGGAGAGACTATTACTCTAAATAATTCCCAAAATATTTATAAATAACTCACGGCTCTTACTATACAGACTCTCCTAGAATAATCTCAGCCACTCTTTTTTGTTTCTTTTTTAATTTCAACCATCCAGCAGCTTCAACTGTGATTTTATTTCCTTTAATTAATCTCTCTCAAGATACATATACGCATATAGCAAAATCATCATTTTATCAGGTTATACTATTAGCTTTAAAATTTTATAGGCCAGCATGGTGGTTATTTGTACAAATGCTGGCGTTCTGAGTTCTGATAAAGGGTGTCAACCACATAAATTCACCACCTATGTGTAAACAGTTGTTGTTATATTTAAAATCAAACTAAAATAAACCCAGAATGTATATATATGTAAAACTGAATCACTTTGCTGTACAGCAGAAATCAACACAACTGTAAATCAACTATATTTCAATATAAGAAAAAAAAAGGTAAAATCAAGCTTCCTTCAGATTTTGGACAGCCAGTGATTGCTTAAGTAACGTTCTCAGCCACTCTTCTGATTTCAATTACTACCTCAAGGCTGGTGATCCCTAGAGCTGTATTTATAACCCAGACCACTCTTCTTGGCTTCATACCTAAATATCAAGCAATTCACATTTCACAAATGGCTCAAAACAACACATTAAAAAGCAAACTCACTCTCCCTGTCAGCAGCTGCCAGCTGCTTCTCTGCCTGAGTTCTCAGTGGTAGTCATCCAAGCTAGAAGCTGGGAGGCCTCCTGGGCCATTCTTTCATCCTATCCCACTCCCATCCAATCCATCACAGAGTCCTACTAATCTTTTTCCTACTTATATCCCCTATGCTCCCTTTCTCTATCTCATGGTCTAGTTAGGACTCTCATCCCCTCGGCCCTGGAGTCGTGACTGATCTCTGCTCATCTTGTCCCCTCTATCGCATGGTGTATAGAAATCATAATAACCATTTTACAATTCAAAACTGTCCAATCAGCCCCCATGACTTACCTACTTACAACCCTTTAATGGTTTCCTATCGACTATAAACTTGTTAAGTTATCCACCCCTCCAGTCTGGTCCCCTGTCAATTCTATCCTTCTGATATATTGGCCCATATATACATATACAACTAATAATAATAAAATGTAAGAAGTACAACATTAAAGAATGAATAAAGAATTATGGAGTTCAAAGGATTATGGGAGCTAAATCTGCTAGGCTGGGGGTTGATTCCTCACAAAGGAGGTTACATCTGAGCTGAGGACATGTAGGACTTGAACAAAAGGAAGAAGGATATAAAGGGCCTATCACACAGCATGAGCAAACTACCACGTATATCTAAAGTTTCATTCTCTTGTCATGAATACATGCATGCAACATGAAAAGGGGAAGGTGGGAAGATAATTTGTCTATATGCATGCTTATTTATCCTTTGCTAAGAGTAAACTAAATCTAAAACAAGGAAAACAAGTAAGCAAATTCATTAATTAGAATCACATTTATACTTTACTAAACATTTATCCAATGACCTATATCCTCTATCTTAATTAGAGTCGTTTGCACCACTCTGAATTGATAAGATGAAAAACCCTGGCAAGAATGTTTGACTCTCACAGATTTATATTCTTAGCCTAAATCTTTACTGAGTATTATTTCCAAATATTTACATTTATAAACAAGCATGAGGCTCTTGCTGGGCTAACAATGCTTATTATAATGGCCAGAGCTAGGGATACAAAGACTAAGCCACCCTGTGGTAGGTCACTTGAACAACCTAATTCAACAAAAATGAGTAATGCTGGGATTTGGCATTTGCTCTTTCTTCCTTTAGGCCTGAGCTATGTATATACACTCCTACAACAGTCCAGTAATTTCTTCCCTTGTTACTACATTTACCTTCATAATTAAGCTTCTATGTTCCACAGACTGACTAAAATGTGTGCCCATTTCAAATACAGTTGTGATTCCATCCTCACACAAATTCATCCAGTAATGATATTCTTCACGCCCAGGAAGTCGATCCCAAAAAGTCCTGAAGGCTTCCCAGACAGCTTCCTGGCATACTGAAAAACAAACAGAGAGGTATTTTTAGAGAAAGCACTTTGGGGTTCTCACAATAAGAGGGAAAAGTGTGTGTGTGTGTGTGTGTGTGTGTGTGTGTGTGTGTGTAAGGGTGGCAGTATACGTAACTCTGGATTTTCTGCTCAATTTTGCTGTAGACCTAAAACTTCTCCAAAAAATAAAATCTATTAATTTTTTAAAAGATATGAGAACTAAAAAGAAAAGGATATTCAGAAGAAACACACTGCTGTATTAAAATCAAAGCTAATTTAATGTATCTGCTAAGTTATTTCAAAGCATCAACTCCGAAAGGACCCTAAACAGGCCGTCTGCACATTTTATAGAGCACTAAGTGTATTGCTATCCTGTAACCATTTCAGGGTCCTGATGCAGGGCACTGCACACAACAGATGGGATGAGAGAGAAGAGGAGGAGGGTGGTAAGGGAGAAAGATGGATTTAAGTGGACAGAGATCAAGGAAATCATTTTTCATCTCAAGAGGACTGAATGCTAATCCACCAGCATATCAAGATAGAGGCCCTGAACTCACTGAGTCAGAAGGATCTCAATTCTAGCCCTAGGCTCACTGTGTACTAGCTTGATTACCGAGAGTAACTGACCTAGCCAGTCAACATTTCAATGTACTCATCTCTCTTTTTTAATGAGATGAATAATAACTGCTTTACTTAATTTATCTGTGAGAGTATTTTATAAACTACATAGTGCTACATGAATATTAAATGTTATTATCATATTGGATTCTGGTTGCCCAACAGTTACTTGATGGAAGAAGAGTCTCAGACTAAAAAAACCTCTTAGGCTTTAACAGAGATTAAAATATATGAATATTGAAAGTTTCTCTATCAACTGATTTTTCAGGGTTAAATTGAATGAACCTTTGGTTGCAAACTTAAGTTTCTTTTTCAGTGAACTAACTACATCCTTAATCCTGTTCTTTAGAACTTTTGATCCTACAGCATACAGAAGACTCCAACAGAGACAGACTGAGGCAGAGGTGACCACTTGTAGATTCAAGTTCTTCCTTTCTTCCTCTTTAAACTTCCAAATGACAGCTTAGTACATACCAGAAGACAATGCAAAGATGAAAGTCTGGGTTGGTAAAAACAAACAAAAAGCGAGTATCTATAAGATCTGGTTATGAAATGAGGTGATTCAAAGAAAGTATTAAAGGTACTGTGAGGGTTTCCCTGGTGGTGCAGTGGTTGAGAGTCCGCCTGCCGATGCAGGGGACACAGGTTCGTGCCCCGGTCCGGGAAGATCCCACATGCCACGGAGCGGCTAGGCCCGTGAGCCATGGCTGCTGAGCCTGCGTGTCCGCAGCCTGTGCTCCGCAACGGGAGAGGCCACAACAGTGAGAGGCCCGCGTACCGCAAAAAAAAAAAAAAGAGTACTGTGAGACCAAATAACTATATATCTATGAGAAAAAATCTCAATAACGTCTTCACAATATACATAATAAAATAATTTGAAATATGAAAGCTAATACTTTGAAGGTCCTAAAAGAAAACACAGAAGAATACATACATGACCTGAAGATAAACAAAGATTTCATAGACAGGACTCAGAAAGCAACAACTATAGAAGAAAAAACAAAAAACTGATATTAGAATTCATCAAAACTAAAAACTTCTGCTCAACAAAGATGCTATTAATAAAAATGAATAGGTAAGCCATACCTCTGGCAGAAAATATTCAAAATACATATATCTGATAAAGAACTGGTATTTAGGATATTTAAAGGATTTCTACAACTCCCTAACAAAAAGGCAAACAATCCAATTTTTAAAATATGTAAAGAGACTGAAGCAGACACTTTACAAAGGACGAGATACAAAGAGTCAACGAGTATGTGAAAAAGTGCTCTGTCATTCATTCTTCACAGAAATGGAAATTGAACCACCCACACATGAACCAGAGAGGCTAAAATTTTTTACATTGACAATATCAAATTTTGGCGAGAATGTGGAACAAACACAACCCTCATTTTTGGCAAGAATGAAAAACAGTACAACCACTTTGGAAAAAGTACTGGTAGTTTCTTATATAACTAAATATACACCAAACCTATGACCCAGTAACCCCCTTCCTAGGTATTCCTTCAAGCGAGACGTAAGCATATATCCACAGAAAGACTTATGTTCAATGCTAGAGCAGCTTTATTCATAATAACTTAAAAAAGAAAACAACCAGGTATCCATCAACAGGAAAATAAACAAACATACGGTCACATAATGGAATCAAAAGGAACAAATTACTAATTCATGCAAAAACATGAATGAATCTCAAAAGGCTGAGTCAAAGAAGCCTTACACAAAAGAGTTCATACTATTCTACTTATATAAAGTCCTAGATAGGTGAAACTAAGCTATGGTTTAAAAAAATTAGAAGAGTGGTCACCTGGTAGTTGGGGTTGAGAAGGGAGGACTGTCTTGGAAGGGGAATAAGGGAACTTTCTGTGGTGGCACTATCCCCAAATTTAAGAGAGGTTTGGATTACACCAATGTGTGCATTAGTCAAAACTCATCAAATGGTATTCTTTAGATTTATGCATTTCACTCTATGTAAATTCCACCTTCAGAAAAGTAAACAAATATTACGCTCTAGTTAATGATATTCATGCTGAAGTTCTACAGGGAAATGAAATGATATCTTTAATTTATGAAATACATCTAAGAAATAGGATGGTTGGATAGATAGATATGTGATAAATCAAATATAAAATGTTAACTGTAGAGCTAGGTGGTAAGACTATGGTGTTCACTAAACTATTCTTTCAACTACTTTGTATGTTTAAAATATTTTTATAAAATCTTAGAAAAACATTATTGTGTGAGGAAAAATGCAGCTGGCACATCCAGCAGTGTAGAAATCATACCAGGTTTCATAGCAGGCCTTCTCTTGGCATCTCTCATGAATTCACAGAAGAATAGCATAAGCTGCCTCCTACAAATTATGCTTTGAGAGATGTCATTTCCTGAAAAAATCTCCTAAGAAATCCACTTAAAAACTTACAGAACTAATAAGTTTAGCAAGGTGTCAGGATACAAGATCAATACATATAAATCAGTTGTATGTCTATACACTAGCAATGAACAAACAAAAAATGAACCTAAGAAAACAATTCCATTTACAAAAGCATCAAAAATAATAAAATACTTAGGAATAAATTTAACAAAGTACAAAACTTATACTCTGAAAACCAAGAAACACTGTTGAAAAAAAATTAAAGACAACATAAATGGAAAAATTTTCCATGTTCGTGAATTGGAAGATTTAACTGTTAAACCCCCAACCCCTGCAGATACCAAAACCCTCAGATACTCAATTCCCTTATATAAAATGGTGTAGTATTTGAATGTAACCTATGCACACACCCCCATATATTTTAAATCACCTCTAGATTACTTATAATACCTAATACAATGTAAATGCTATGTAAATAGTTGCCAGCACACGGCAAAATCAAGTTCTACTTTTTGGAACTTTCTGGAATTTTTTTTCAAGTGTTTTTTTGTTTGTTTTTTGTTTGTTTTTAAACTTTTTTATATTGGAGTATAATTGATTAACAATGTTGTGTTGGTTTCAGGTACAGCAAAGTGATTCTGTTATACATATACATGTATCTATTCTTTTTCAAATTCTTTTCCCATTTAGGTTGTTATATAATATTGAGCACAGTTCCCTGTGTTATACAGTGGGTCTTTGTTGGTTACCCATTTTAAATATAGCAGTGTGTACACGGCAATCCTAAATCCACAGCTGGTTGAATCTGTGGTTGCAGAACCCACAGATACAGAGGGCCAACTGTATCTTCAAAATGATCTGCAGACTCAGTGCAATCCTATCAGAACCCTGGTTTCTTTACAGAAATTAACAAGCTAATTCTAAAATTCATATGAAATTGCAAGGGACCCAGAAGAGCATAAACAGTTTTGCAAAAGAATAACAAATAGATAAAATGGACTTCATCAAAATCAAAACCTTTTGTGCATGGTGAAAAAAAGATCTTTTGTCTTTTGTGAAAGACACCATCAAGAAAACGAAAATACTTTCAAATCATTTGTCTGATAAGGGTCTTGTATCGAGAATATATAAAGATTGCTTACGACTCAATGAAAACAAGATAAATAACCCAAATTTTTAAAAGGCAAAGGATTTAAAGACATTCTTTGAAAGAAGATATTCAAATCCAAGAAACATATAAAAGGATGCTCAACATTATTGGTCATTAAACAAATGCAAATCAAAACCACAAGATGCCACTTCACACCCATTAGGATGGTTGTAATTTTTTTCTTTTTTTTAAGGAAATTATAGTGCTGGCAAAGATGTGGAGAAATCAGAACCTTCATACACTGCTGGTGGGCACGGTACATCTATTTTGGAAAACAATCTGGAAATTCCTCATGCAGTTAAACGTATGACTCAGAAATTCTACTCTTAGATATACACCCAAGAGAAATGAAAACAACCCAAATATCCATCAGCTGACAAATGGATAAACCAAAACCATACAATAGAATGTTATTATTCGGCCACAAAAAATAAACTACTCATACATGCTACAACATGGATGAACCTTGAAAACATTATGCTAAGTAAAAGAAGTCAGTCACAAAAGACCATATATTATATTATCTCATTGATATGACAAATCCAGAATAGGCAATTCTATAGAGACAGAAAGTAGATTAGTGGTTGCTTAGTCCTGGGGGGAGGGGAAGGGGAGACAGAGTGGTAAGAAAGTGATATCTAAAGGGTGAGGGTTTTTTTTGAAGTGATGAAATGTTCTTAAACTGAGTGTGATGATAGTTACTAGTTTCTGTGAATATACTGGAAAACCATTGAATTCTATACATTAAATGAATTAATTGGTATGTTAATTATATCTCAGTAAAACTATAAAAAATGCAATTCCCTCCAGAAAGGTAATACAGTTGACCTTTGAATAATGTGGCAGTTAGGGGCACAGACCCTCTGC